TTCAGCAGCATCTCTGCATACATTTGGCAAATATTTAAAAGCCACATATTGTGTAATTGGTTCAGCCTTTGAAAATTATTAACTTTGTGTTAAAGGATGTACACAGCAATGCAAGATTTTATCTTGACAATCCCATGCTTTGTCTTCTACCAGCAAGGATGTATTTGGGGATTACTTGCTTTAGCTCCTCAAAGGGCAGTATACTAAATGCTTTGTAATCACTTTGGTACTGATGAGGTATGGGAAAGCATTTAATTTATGTCGCTTTGTAAAGTTGGATTATACAGAAACTGTGGCAGACAATATTTTGTTAGCCAGGGAAATAAAAGGAACTTTGCATGTCAAGTTACTTAAAACTATGTGTTTCTGCTTAGCTTTAAACTTTTTTTTTTGTAAAGTCTGAGCAGAGGTGATAGATGCTTTCTGGACTCTGCAGCTAATCTGCAAACAAGGCTGTGCAAAGCACAGCATAAATGTTAATGTTATTGAAAGCCATTCTTTCTATTATAATTTTATAATCTTTACGCTAATTAGCTTTTTTGTGTGTTTTGTTAGCATGTCGGTTATTTGCATTAATGGAAAAGCTGAATAGGAATTTTTAGTATGTAATTGCAGCCAAGGATGTATAACTTGTAAATGGCAAATACTTTAAAATGTTTATAATTAGAGTACTGATCTGTCTCCTTTAATTTCTCTGGGAAACACATACTGTATGTGTCCTTCATCTAAGGAAATCAGCTCCCTACTTGTGCTTTGTAACACAAACTGTTTGCTAACTCAGCTAAAAAGTGCCACTAATCAATTCATAAGGAAAAAATATATTTATGTGTGGAATCAAAATCTAGAAGTATTTTTACAGAAGGCAACTGAATACTATTTAGAAAACTCCTCACACCATATAACACAGCACAGTGGTTTTGAGATGATGATCAATGGGATTTAAAAGCATGTTACTTAAAAATATTAGTTACACATAATAATTACTTTGGTAGTTTGTTACACAAGAAGTTATAACTTGTTATTAAATGATTAATGATTTTATCTCTTTCTGTTCTAGATTTAAAAGAAGTGTAAGCAATTGGATTACAACGGTGACATTTTTGAACACGAGTGATGTTAAAGCAATTTGAATGCATTGGAACATGGCTACTTCATAAAATGCAAAAATTAAAGGAAATTATTGCGTATCAAAACCTACTGAATATCTGAATTTTCTAGGCATCCTGCATTTAACTGTGTCCTTAAAAATCCATGATTAAGATCTCATGCAACCGTTGTATATTTTGGAGACTATTTTCCAGAAGAGAACTGTGCATTTAAAAAGCAGAAATGACTGTGTTTTCTCTTGGAACTTACTAAGGTTGAACATACTGAAAGACCATGACCAGCTTGAAGCGGTCCCAGACTGAAAGGGCTGTTGCCACTGGGGTATCAGTCGGAACAGATGGTACCTCAAAAGTCCACTCGGATGACTTCTATATGAGGCGCTTTAGATCACAGAATGGCAGCTTAGGATCTGCAGTTATGGCTCCAGTTGGACCTCCTCGCAATGAAAGTTCCCATCATGTTACCTCTACCCCCGGAGTCCCTAAAATGGGGGTCAGGGCAAGGATTGCTGATTGGCCCCCAAGGAAGGAGAACATCAAGGAAACAAGCAGATCTAGCCAAGATATTGAAACATCAAGTTGCCTTGACAGTATGTCTTCTAAAAGCAGTCCTGGGAGTCAGGGAAGCTCTGTTAACCTGAATGCTACTGATTCTGTCATGTTAAAGAGCATCCAGAGCACACTTAAAAACAAGACCAGACAATCTGAGAATCTAGATTCCAGGTTTCTTACACCCGATGGCTATCCCAGTTCCCCAAGGAAAGCTCTTCGCAGAATACGACAACGGAGCAACAGCGACATTACCATAAGTGAGCTTGATGTGGATAGTTTTGATGAATGTATTTCACCAACTTTTAAATCTGGACCATCTCTGCACAGGGAGTATGGCAGCACATCTTCCATAGATAAGCAGGGAACTTCAGGGGAAAGTTTTTTTGACTTATTGAAGGGCTATAAAGATGAAAAGTCTGATCAGAGAAGCCCAGGCACAACTAAGCTCGGTGAGCTCCTGATTGCCAGTGGAAGCAAGGGTTCAGGATTCTCTCTAGATGTGATAGATGGACCTATTACTCAAAGGGAAAACCTAAGACTCTTTAAAGAAAGGGAGAAGCCACTCAAAAGACGCTCAAAATCAGAGACAGGAGATTCATCCATTTTTCGTAAGCTGCGCAATGCCAAAGGTGAAGGGGAACTTGGGAAGTCTTCAGATCTTGAAGATAACAGGTCAGAAGATAGTGTCAAGCCTTGGACTTGTCCAAAGTGTTTTGCTCATTATGATGTACAGAGTATTTTATTTGATTTAAATGAAGCGGCAATCAACAGGCATAATGTTATTAAAAGAAGGAACACAACGACAGGTGCATCTGCTGCTGCTGTAGCATCACTTGTCTCAGGACCTTTGTCCCATTCTGCAAGTTTTAATTCTCCAATGGGCAGCACTGAAGACCTGAATTCAAAAGGAAGTCTCAACATGGACCAGGGAGATGATAAAAGCAATGAACTAGTGATGAGTTGTCCTTATTTTCGTAATGAGATTGGTGGGGAAGGGGAGAGGAAGATCAGCCTTTCCAAATCTAATTCAGGTTCCTTCAGTGGATGTGAAAGTGCCTCATTTGAGTCGACTCTGAGTTCTCATTGCACAAATGCTGGAGTTGCAGTTCTGGAAGTACCCAAGGAGAATCTGATTTTGCATCTAGACAGAGTGAAAAGATACATTGTTGAACATGTAGACCTCGGTGCATATTATTATCGAAAATTCTTCTACCAGAAAGGTAGGAAAACTTTTTCTTCTTGAGTTTTTTAATGATTTTTTATTTTATGAACATGCATGTATTTGAAAGAATTACCTCTTTCTTTAATCATCAGTGCTTAAGCATGATATATTTTACAGATTGGTACATGCTATATCTAATAATCTTTCACAGTGTTGGAGTAAAAGAACATTGAAGATTTTATTACTGATATACATGACAGCAATGGCTGCAAATTATAAATGTCTTGAAACAAAGCTTTGGTATCCATGGCAGCAGGCAAGGGTTGACACTTGCTCTTTCCACTGTCTCCTCCTGCAGTCTTTCTAGGGCTGAGAGGTAGCCTTTGCTGTGTGGTTTTCAAGAGTGCTGATCCACATCCTTTGGAGACAAAGGAGTTAGGAAAATAATGGTTTCCTGAGAACAGTAAACCAGATGTGTGATATAGGATGAGGTATATTTGGAAGGGAGAGCCTGAGATGAGAGACATTTGTCTGTGATTATCTTATTATCTGTTTCCCTCTGGAACAATTTGATTCCTTACCACTCTGGTGAGTTTTGCAGTCAGCAAGTAAAGGTGCAATTTCATCTTACAGCTGACCTGATTTAACAGCATTTCAGCACTAAAAGGGGAAGACTTTATTCCTCCCCTTTTCTTGTATTAGTTATCTTGTTTTCTGAAAACTTGATAAGCCAGTTGAGTTTGCTAACCAAACTAGCAGAAATCTTGCCATCATGATAAATTTGGTTTATATTGCTTAGCTATTTCTCTCCAGTTTTGGTGAGGCATATTACCTTTCCTTGCAGTCAGAGAAGTGCCAAATCCCTAGTGCCAGGTAAGCTGTGAGAGTGGAAGAGGAAGGAATTTCAGCCCTTAGGCAACAGCAATTTATTAGTTTGCCTTCTCCTTAAGGGAAACCACACCCTCATACTACTACAATGCCAGTCACCATTACATCTCCATTTCTTTGTAGCTGTAATTAAGATGAATTAGATAAAATCAGCATAACCTCCTATTGGTAAGGGGCAACCAGATATGAAGTCAGTATGTGTATGGAGTGGGTTTGGAGGGAGAGAAGCTGTGAATTTTTTCCTTAAGTCGTAAAACCGGGTTTTAAATTCACTGTTCTTGTGTCCAGTCCAGCAGGCACCAGCTGGGGACATTGTTTCTACCAAAGGTTTTTTTCTGAAAAGAGGTGTACTTCAGAAGCCTCATCAGATATGCCCAAACCCCACATTTCTACAAGTACCAAACATATTTTGTTCACCATCCAGAGTATCATCATTCCCCAAGCAAACTTCAGACTAATCTGATGAGATGGCATAGTGCTAAAACTTAAAGCAGCAGAATAAGAAAAGAAATAATCAAGGAAGTCAGTTGTAAGTCAATTTTTTTTAGAATATGAAGGAAGTCATTATGCAGAGACTTTCCTACTGAAAGAGGAGGTTGGATCTTTATGGTGTTAAGAGTGGAGCAGACAGTGATGAAAGACAGTTTCAGTGGGGTCACCTAGTCAAGTCAACAGGTCCTGGGTAATTTTTTAGTCTTAGATGTATGAAGGAAATAATTCTGATTCAATAACAATACCTTTGAAAGATCTCAAACCAGGAAAATTTCACAGAATTGGTGAACCTCTACTAATCCTAGAGCTTGTACAGTGTAGAAAGCGATGTTGCGGAGAATTGTAAGCCTGAGTTTGTTTTCATTCCAACTTGAAATAACAAAGCAGGTAATTTGGGACTATATCAACAAAGAACTGCCAGCTGAAAGTCATTAATGATGCCAGTCAGCATGATTTAATGAAAAGTAGCTCTTGTCACAAAAAAAACCCTCAAATCCACAGTTCATCTTCTGTGTTGTAAAGAAAAAGAATGAAAGCTATTGCATTAATATAGTCCATTTTAGCTTCTTCATGGTAATTTGAAATGCTGACGGTGACTTGATTGAAATCTTTAACTATATGGAAGTAATAGATCATTTTTTACAGGTACTTGGATGGTAGATGCATCTCAAATTGTTGCAGTGTATGGGTGAAATATCAGTGAGCTGGTGGTATCACTAACAATGGTCCAGATTAATTAAAAGATTTTAATTGAGTTAATTAAAAGATTTTAATTCAGTTAGTGTAAAATACTTGCATGTGGCATTTATGGATAAGGCTTGTGTAAGTTCATCAGTGAAGGCAAATGGATGAAATTTTATATATAAAGGAAATTTGTCCTTCTACAGGGCAGTAGTATTGATAAATAATATTTTGGCCTAGTGTCCAGACTTGTAAATGTGAAAATACTGGTGGAGACAGTGAAGGTTAGAAAAATGATACAGTTATTAGTGAAAGAACTTTATACTGGTGGTTCCCAAGGTTGGATTCAGCTCCTTTAGTTGATATCTGAGCTAGTTGTACAGACTTCCTTTGTGCTCCATGGAGAGAAATTAACCTTGAAGGATCGTATGAATTGCAGTCTCTTCCCTCAATTCACTAATAGAAGGCTCATGCACAGCTAACTTACATGGAGATGTTTATTCTTACAGAAGATGAATGCTAATCTTATGTTGCACAAGATGTATTTGCAAGGTGACTATTTTAAGGTGTTTCAAAAGGTATATTTGAGAGAAGAACTTAATTAAAAGTTCTAAGTCTAGACATTTATAAGCTGAGCTAGTGAATAAAAAATGGGGAGAGGATAAAGCCAGCACAAGAACAAATTTATGAAAGTTGCACAGATTTGACCTTCAAATAATATTAAGCTTTGAACAAAAAAGTTAACTCTACATGGGAAAAAACATACTGAATGAAGTTATTCATTGTTTGAATTTTACATGCCAGTCATAGTTTTTTGTATGACATTTTCCCTTCTTATCTTAACAGACAGTTAAAGACAATTTCTGAGAGGTTTGAGTTAAGATAACAGGGTATTTTCTGGCTTGTCTGTTGCTTAGTATGATCAAGTCCCTTCGTTAAAGATGCCTATTTAGTGTGGGTTTTGACCCTGGATGGATGCCAAGTATCCACCAAAGCTGCTCAATCAATCCCTTCCAAGGCTGGACAGAAAATATAGTCAAAGGTTCATGAGTTGAGGTAAGGACAGGGACAGCTCACTCACTGATTAGTGTCATGGGCAAACCGGACTCAGATTGGGGATATTAATTGAGTTTATTACCAAAAAAATCAGAGCAGGATAAGAAGAATTAAAACAAATCCCCAAAACACCTTCCCCCCCACCCTTTCCTCCTTTCTAGGCTCTTCCTCCTCTTCCCAGTGGCACAGAGAGACAGGCAATGGAGGTTATGGTCAGTTCATTGCAGGTTGTTTCTGCTGCTGCTCAGCTAGAGGAATCCTCCTGCTCCAGCGTAGGGTTCCTCCCATGGGAGACAGCTCTCCAGAAGCTTCTGCAACGTGAGTCCATCCTATGGGCAGCAGCTCTTCATGAACTCCTTTGGCATGGGTCTCTTTCTACAGGGTATAGTCCTTCAAGAACAGCCTGCTCCAGCATGGGTCCCCCACAAGGTTGCAAGTCCTACAAGGAAACTTCTAGGGTGGGCTTCTCTCTCTCCAAGTCTGCAGGTCCCTGCCAGGAGACTGCTGTGATTATTGAAATAAAATTCTCTCTAAATGTGGTGCTTTTAGAATTAGAAAGAAAACAAGTTGGACTTATTTGTTTTTTCCGTTAGTACACAGTGGCAGCAAATATAAGGTGAGGGGAGGAGATTTCAAGAAGCTACCTGTTAGTTGTTTTGGGGCTACTTTATGGATTACTTTTTTCTTGTAGAGCATTTGAACATTTTTGTTAACACTATGATTGTTATGAGTATAAAACTGTGCAGCTCAACTTTTAAGAAAATACATGTTAAGACAGCTGATGAACTTCAGTTTGTATAGGAAGTATATTTTTTGACAGGAGAAACAAATTGTTTAGCCTTCTTACTGAAATATAAGAAAATCTTTTTGTGTGAGAAATTGAGATTCTTCCTTAAATGCATAATTTTCTGCTCCCCACAAATAGTATTGTACTATTGACAGCAATGCTTCAGTTTATTAACAAACAAACAAAAAAAACCAAACTCAAAAAATCCCCAAACAAACAAATAAAAACAAGGACCAAAAACCCCACAACACAGCAAAGAGGGAGAGAAGCAAAACTCTTGAACTCACTGCTTCTAGACATAAAATTACAGTTCCCAGAGAAGGGAAGAGTTGTCTTTAGGTCAGCCCAAAACTCCTAGTTCTATCTTCAGGCAAAGGCCAACTTTCCAGGTGTAGTTTGCCAGCCTCTGGAGATATACAGGAAATGGACTTCTCAACCTGGTGATAGTATCATTTGTATTTAGTAGTCT